AAACGCACACGCATTCTTTTTCCTCTTGCTACTTACGGAAATCTGGAATCGGCAAGTTGTTTTAGGCAGCGCTAATGTCGTTTACGTCGACATATTGCAGGCAGATTGGATTAATTAGAAGCTGGAAGTACATAACTAGACAATACGATTCTCTTTTAACCAAAACTCGCATACAAATACATATAAAAAGTGCGACTACATGAGCATGTGTCTGTGTGGTTACAAGAGGCCTGTGGTCGGCACACTAAAACAAATCCATTCCCACTATACAGAAAGGAGGTAGAGAATGTCCATTTCCGTACTTGCAGCTCAGTGGCTGCGGTCATGTGCTCTCGCCAGCGCACAGAGAGAGGAGACCTGTGGTTTTAACCCAGCCAGGAGGGAGGGAAGGGGAGCAGAGTGATGACAGCTCATGATGTTATACACTGCAAATGTGACCTGGGAAGTGACCGAGTGTGGGTTAATAAGCCGTAGAACGAAGAAAGAGTCCAGAGATGACAATGCGGCGTATGTAAGGGCATGGGGAAGCTGAAAAGAGGGCTTGTGAAAGCGCCTAAAAGCATTTTGGAAGGCGTTTTGGGGCGCAATCGCCAGCGTGATGACATCCATCACAGCTGAGTTTCAAAAGAAAAAACGGGTGCGATCCAAACAGCGTGTGTTTCTGTTACCTACAGCGACCTTCTTTCCTTCTCTGTCATTCTACGATCCTCCTTTCCCCCCATTATTCAGCTACTGGCTTCCTTTTTCCATCGCTCTAGCCCTTTCTTTTCACACTTCACTCCCTTTTACACCTTCGTCTCCCTCCGCCGACTTCGGTTTGCCGCCGCTTCCCCTTCCTCCTCGGCCTGCTAATCTATTCCAGAAGAAAGGCTACCATGGAGAACGCATAACAAGTGCTCATACTTCAGCACGGGCCAAGAGAGAAATAACACAGAGAAGGAAAAATGGGAGTGGGGTACAGACAGGCAGAAAAAGGAGAGAAAGTGTTTATTCAAACTCAAAGCTGACTCCTTTGTTGTGGTAGGGACCTGTCTTATATTAGAAGTCTGAACTCCCTTCAAAGTTTGGAAAGATGGAAGATGGGCCAAAAGGAAGTGAAAGAACAAGACAGAGGGAGACAAACAGAAGAAGGAGAAACTCCTATTTTGTCTAAAACTGGTAGAATTGGACATGAGAAATGAGTGGAGGATAAAGAGAGAGAGAGAGAGCTTGAAAGGGGGGAGAGCAACTCCATTGAGAGAATAGATGAACTATGCTCGGTTCTGGACTGTGAACACATTCAAACCATTCAGTCAAAGCTTTGACGTAGCCTTTGATTTCAAATATTGATATTCATAAGCGCTTTGGTATATGAGAAATAATGTGCTCAGTCTACAGCAGTTGTGGCATAATGTTGATTTCCACAAGAATTCATTTCCACTCTCTAAAGGCCTGTTCACACCAAGAATGATAACTATAAAGATAGCTATAGCGTCAACACAAACGCACAATAACATTCTGTTTATTCTAAGCGCATTCTGCAGTTATGTCACCTGCCACTTCAAATGCTTGAGCTCTTTACAGCAGGATGGATTCCGATTGGCTGACAATGTTTTAATCGTTTATCAGCTGGAAGAAAATTGTTGTGAAACTGATTCCAATGAGATTGTTACTCTGTGACATTATGGTTGTGGTGTGGACCGCTGTTCTCTTAAATGTAGAACAAATTTTAAAACTATACAGTGAGGCACTTACAATGGAAGTGAATGGGGCCAATCCAATCCCGATGTCATGAGAAAACTTAAAGGCACAGTTCACCCCCCCCTCCCCAAATTGTTCCAAACCTTTATGGGTTTCTTTCTTCAGTTGAAGATAGCAAAATAAGATATTTTGAAGAATGTTGGTAACCAAACAGTTGACAGTAGCCATTGACTGCCATAGTATTTTCTTCCATACTATGGAAGTCAATGGCTACCGTCAACTGTTTGGCTATCAGCAAGTTTGTTAGCAATTTTGTATAAATTCATATGATGTGATTCATATAGAACCAAACTAATTTAATGAAGAAAAAACCATAAGCATGAAGGTCCACTCTTAAGTGTCACATTTCTGCTTTTAAATCCCAAAATTGCCCCATTTACTTCCATTGTAATTATCTCACAATGGAAGTAAATATGCTCAATATATGAAGGACTTAAAACACTGTAACCTTGATTTTTTTTTTTTTTAAGAAAACAACGGAGTTAAAATCTTTTGTTTTGGTAATCAACATAAATGTTCCTTCAAGAAAACTAAAACAGAATATTGAAATTCAAAGAGTTCTGAGAGAATGCACATTTGATACCTTTCACATGAAGTTCTCTGGACTTCATCTAAAAATTAAATCTGGGTGGAGGGCCTGAAGTCCAGACACTGAAAGACAAAGAGCAGAGAAATGCTGGTACAAAAGGTTATACAATCACAACGGTGAGTGTGATCCAGTCAACCAGGCTTCCTAACTCAATCTAATATAGCTGTTCGCACAACCGGGTATGTATACGCTGAATATCAGATCATTATGACCTGCTAATTGCTCAGTGCTCTCCAGTGGAGCTGAAATATCAAACCATTACACTAATCAAAAATGTTTGTTGTCTCTGGAAATTACGGGATTTTGAAGGTGAGAGGAAATGAGTTATAGTATTTTGGAAATGTGACACGGCTCATTTAGGATGTTCAAAACCGCCAAGCGAGCCGTGACCTGTCTAGCTACCCGCTAATTTACATCTCTCTCCTTCACTCGCACACATCTATTGCTCCTCCTGGATGGGGCACAGGGGTGCTGGGGCGAGAAAAGGGGGGTGGAGGAGCATGCAGTGCTGGCGCTTGTTGGCTGACCCGGGTGTCTGCGGTTCTATCGTGGTCAGAGGAGGGGGGAAAACGGGCGGTGTTTCTGAAATCCCTGTGAAATGTTCATTTTGGAACGACTAGTTGCTTACATACCTCTCTCACACCCTCTCTTCTATTTTGAAGTGTTTAAATATGGCCTAATATTGCTCAGTACCCCTTTTAGGTTTAACAGAAATCAAATTTTTAAGGGATGCAGTAAGTAAGTGTTTGTTTAGGTTTAGCTGGTGCTTATTTGCCAAGATTGTGTCAGTGGTTTTACACTTTATACTGACACCTGTTGGTGTGGATGCATTGTTGCTTGTTTGTTTATCTTTATCATGTTACTACTGTTCATTTGTTTTTCTCTACCTTACACTACACATATCTGTATAATGAATATTCTAGATTTAATCACGACAGATTTTTATGGTGGTAGGCAGCTATTTGGGGGTTGTTTGTTTTATCACTCCATTAGAGGCTGCTGGTTATAGAGAATTTGTGTGTGTGTGTGTGTGTGTGTGTGTGTGAGAGTGTATATGTTTGGTTTTTCCTGTTTTGTTTAAGTGTATTTTTATGTAAAACACCTAAAAATGCATTAATTATTAAGCAATAGTATTATTAACTCGGCCAGCTGAATGACACGGCGATGTAATGTCAACATGGCGGCCACCATGAGGGGGCGCCCCGCTCCATGTAGATTAAAACTGCTTTTTTTCTCTGCAAAACTGACAGGACTTGAATCTTATAGCACGTAGTATTTCTCAAAACACTGTTTAACGGTTTACTTCGCAAAATAATGACTGAATGCACCTTTAAGCTGGACGTCTATACTTTCCCGAACGCTACGTTTAATAAAAGGTCACACGGTTTATGTAAGCAGTTTCAAAGTGCTGAAAGTTTTGAATTCGGTTATTGCTGGACGGTCGAAGCGCTTCTCTTCCATCGCCCCACCTTGGTGATGATAAGTGAGCTAGAAACATCGTCCCATCATCATCCCTGCCCCTGCGCGCACCCCGCCCATCTCCGTTCCACTTCAGCTGCGCTTCCTTCTCATTCAGCAAACGCACTGTCCTGTGGCGAGAGAGGGGTCCTTTCCACCCCACAGCCAAACAAAAGAAGCCTGGAAACGGAGCAAATCTAGCAAAGACTTCTTAAAGGGCAGGAGGACCCCTGAATTCTGCGTTTTTGTGTGAAGACAGCAGCGTTCTTGAGGATACTGCAGGAAGGAACACTGGGAAGCTTTTTAATATCCATCTATTGTCAGTGTGTCATGTGGAGTGTGGGGTCACACAGGAGGATGACCTGTTTTTCACCTGTCGTTCTCCAGCATACAGCTGAACAGGTTTGCTTGCGAGAAGACTCTCTCTGAACAATCCTCCAACACGCGCTCAGATGCTCACCTGGGTCTGTGTCCGGTTTTGGCTCCAGTTTTTAAAACCATCGCCTCAAAGATCTCACTGTCCGGGGTGATAGAAGCGCTGGAGCGATGCAGTCCATGCTGTCCTCTGCTGTCGTGCTGTAAGTTTCACGTGTAATTATTCAGTTTGAGTTGAAGGCTGCATTGTAGCGAGTCTCCATCTACTGATGGGTCCACCGTTTTCTCCAGCCTGAGCATTTGTTGTGTTTCCCATCTCTGGGTCAGACGATAGCCTCAGCAGATGCTGGGTTCTCATAATAACACATCCCACCCAGTGTCTTCTCAGATAACAGCAGCATGCACACTGATAATGAGACTTTCTAGGTCTGAATCCTGTTTAGACTAGGGTAAAAGTCCTGTGTTGGTCAATAAGCATGTCTGAAATGAATAAACAAGATAGTTAATGCTTAAAAATGCTACTCTTTGCTAAAAATGTTTTTGTTAAAAAGTAACCATAAATGAAAATATCTACAATCAAAAATATTTACATTTTGCAAAACTATTAAAGTTTCAAAATATATTTTTAGTCATGAATATCACAAATATTGGTTTAGTCCATTTAACCTGTAAAAATGTGTTTTAAAAGTTAATATATTTGATTTTTTTTAACCTAATACTCATAGCACAGTCATGATGGTCTAAAGGGGTCCCTTCTGTTTTATGGTTTTCTTGACACATGATAACAAAATGGCTTCCTGCATGTTAGACGCGCTCAGATGCTCACCTGGGTCTGTGTCCGGTTTTGGCTCCAGTTTTTAAAACCATCGCCTCAAAGATCTCACTGTCCGGGGTGATAGAAGCGCTGGAGCGATGCAGTCCATGCTGTCCTCTGCTGTCGTGCTGTAAGTTTCACGTGTAATTATTCAGTTTGAGTTGAAGGCTGCATTGTAGCGAGTCTCCATCTACTGATGGGTCCACCGTTTTCTCCAGCCTGAGCATTTGTTGTGTTTCCCATCTCTGGGTCAGACGATAGCCTCAGCAGATGCTGTGTTCTCATAATAACACTTCCCACCCAGTGTCTCCTCAGATAACAGCAGCATACACATTGATGATGAGACTTTCTAGGCCTGAATCCTGCTTAGACTGTAGGGTAGAAGTCCTGTGTTGGTCAATACAAATAAGGATGTCATAAATTAAATTAAAACATAAATAAAACAAATGAAAACTACCAAGAATATTTACATTTTAAAAAACGTATATATCATATTATATATATTTTTTACCTAATACTCCTGGCACACAATCATGGGGGCCTAAAGGGGTCCCCTCTTTATGGTTTATGGTTTTCTTGACACATGACAACAAAATGGCTTCCTTCATGTTAGTTACACCACAGTGACTTCAATTATGTGGCCGGACGTTTTTCAGTATTAAAAAAAAAACTATTTAAAATAAAAATCCTTCACTTCTTATTTGTATTTATGTATATTTTTTAATATCATAACATTATACCACTACTTATGCCAGAATTTATTTCTTAAATAAATTCAGATTTATATATATATATATTTTTTTTTTTTCCTTTTATGATAT